TCCTGTGTTCTTGTCATAGTTGGGTTCATAGATGGAGTAGATCGCTACGTTACCTGAAGAACAATAATATAGTGATTTCCGATTGTGTAACACTGTGACATTGTGGTAGCAAAGCTTCAACTTGGCTTCATATTTGCAGATCTTGGTTTTAAATGAATTACATTTAAAGAAATAATGCTGCCACAGTTGCTTCATTACAGACACTGTTTGGCTTTACACAAACTGAATTTGAACAAACTCGGCCACTTGGGGACAGAAGAATTCAACAATCAGCTGGTGAAGCAACAGCCATCACATACAGTATGTTGTCTTATACAGTTGTTATGGGTAGATGTGATTTTTTCACACTTCCAGCACAATGAGATTCATTCTGAATCATTTTTCTGTCACCTGACTAAGTCCAGTATTCCTTTTAGCTTTGTTCTGGTCTCATCTCTCTTCACCAGTAGCTTACTTTATCTGTCATTTGGTGCTGATCAGCTTGTGCACAATGACTTTCTGTCAGTTCGTCTGAGACACAGCTGCAGGAAACTATGTACAACTTTACAGCTTACCAGCGATGAACCAGCAAAGGGCGAGGAAAACGGTCACGGGGAACCACATCCAGCTGTTGTCCAGACATGAGCAAAATGGACTGAAGTATAATAAATATCCAAAAAAAAAAATGGGGACGAAAGGCTGCGCTGGACAGTCGTTAATGTACAACATTCCTGTAAGGCACAAGGACAAAAGCAAAGTGAAGTATCACTTCAGCCACATCCACTAATTGTTATCCTCTGTTTAGCTGGTGACTGGAAACAACAATTCAGGTTGTGTGATATTTAAAAAGTTGCTTCTGTGGCACAGAAAATAAATTTGGATAACTTGAAAGTCTGCATCTCTCACTTACCAACTATCATTTGAAAAAAGGTCACGAGCATGAAAATCCCCACAATGCACCCTGAGGGAAGAGACAAAATATAAATGTTGTCATTCACACTTTACACCGTCACTGAGTTTAGCTATGACTTTGCACATCACTCTCACTTACATGTGCACTTTGACCATCCACTGCTTTGTGGAACCCTCTGACTCTCTAGAAGCCTCTGAGTCTCTGGCATTATGAGGAATGATGAGTCTACCCCACAAACATCAGAGACACAAATCAACTGTCTACATTAGGAACATTTAAAGATGAGGTGAAAAAGGTTTTTGCATAAAGGTAAATCATAATTTAAATATAAACTTAAAGTAATATACAGGATAATTACAGTATATTCTTCATACATGACATGATTAGCAGCTGGAACACATTATGTTACGGTGCCTTTCATATAACCTGCCTGTTAATGTGGCTCCTGCACAGAAAGAAAGTAAAGTGCTTACTTACAGAAGACCTTGTTGTCACGACAAAGTTCCAGACCCAATGTACTCAGACACACACTGGGAGGGGAACTTAAAACGTTTAGTAAAACAACAAGGAGAGGTTACTGAGTGCAGGAGAGGTAAAGCATGGAGAGACGAGGGAGGAGCTGGCTGGGTTGCAGGAGTGAAGGTGAGTCCCCACCCAGGTAAACTCAAACTCACGGAGAGATGAACAGGGAGGAACTATCACAGTGTTGTTCAGATACAAGGGAGCCAGGGTCTTGTTTGGGAGAGAAACGTGCAAAGCACTACAGTACACATGCACACACGTAATGAACCAGTTTATCTCTGACCTCAGCGTGACCTCAGATGGCTTCATGGCCTACTACTCCAGTGTGTCCCATGGGTCCCGGACATCCACCGCCGAAGGGTAGACTTTATCTACCGACCTCCACACCACAGAAACCTGCTGTGAAGCCAAGCAAACCCACCAAGCCTACTCCCAAACCTAGACCTGGCTTCCAGTCTAAACCATGTGCCATATTCCTTCCATTACCTGGGGGGCCGTTGAACTCTGGGGGATGTTCAGGGCCTTGGAAATGTTTTTGTATCCATCTCCTGACTTTGACTTTCCAATAACCTTTTCTCTGAGTTGCTTGGAGTGTTCTTTTGTCTTCATGGTGTAATAGTAGCCAGGAACACTGATTAACCAGTGACTGGACCTTCCAGACACAGGTGTCTTTATACTACACTCACTTGAGACACATTCACTCTGGTGATCCTCATTTCACTACCTGTGAAACTACTAGCACCAACCTGCTGGAACTCTGTTGAATTAGGTCAGTCATTTTAAAGGGGGGTGAATATTTATGCATTCACTTATTTCCCATTACATATTTTATTTAATTGACTTTACTTTGTAGAAACCTGTTTTCACTTTGATAGTAAAGAGGTTTTTTTGTAATTTGATATCAAAAAAGCCAAATTATATTGACCATGATTGAGTCATAAAATCAATAAAAGGGTCAAACATCCAAGGAGGTGAATAATTTTTATAGGCACCGTATGCTCACACACTAAAGTACTTTCATTTGTTCATGACTGAGCGTAGTGTGAACTACTGTTTGAGTTAACTAAAACAAGTCTGACTGCAAACACCAGGTGACCAACTTAACAGGAGCAGCATCACGAAAGTAAAACAACTTGAGAAAATTGTGATGTTATAACATGGATTTGTTTGTCTTGTTTTAAATACTTTAGACACAAAGTCCACAGTTTTTTGCAATTTATAATGAATTTGAAAAAATTAAACCAGACAAATACTGACTCAAGGTAAATCACACACAAATATGTCCAAGTTTAGGAAAAGCTGAGTGACAAAAGGTAGACTTTTCACTTTAATGTTAAGTTTATTAAAAGGTTTTGCATCAGTGTCAAAGCAGGAATTTAATACAAGAAAAGTCACGATTTGCTGTTTTTAAAACTGAGCTATCATCTTTTTTACAGCCCATCAGTCAGATTGACACCCCTACCTCTGAACACATGAACATAACTTTAAATTAAAGAGTAAAATATTATTAGTGAAATGCAAACATGATTTAGTTCAACAGAACACTGTTGTGAAAATTACATTTTAAAAGAGTAAACATAGTATTGAGTATTTAATGACTATAAGATAATCAGTAAAGCATATGATCCTGGTGCTTAAGGTGATTTTAACATTTCATTTCCAGTGTTTTCATAATGTATATACATAAAACTACTGAATGTTTTTACCCTTAACTGTTATTAAATCCATCATCCTTCTGCATAGGTTTATCGTTTGGTTCAGTATGAACTTATTTATGATAAGTTATGATAGATTGGTGGTACACTCTAGAACTAGTACACCAAAACAAGGAGAGGATAATCAATAGTTAGTCAGGTACACCGATGATTGAATCTTCAAAGAGCTTTGGCATCAACACTCAGGTATGACAATTCTGCATGGCAACAAACATGAGCTGCTCACATCCTGCTGTATGTGACTTACTACAGAGAATTACTGAGTATGATTAGCTGGAGTTGAGTACTTATGGATACACTGATCATCACTCTCAGGACTGGGAGAATGACATTGATCCTTGAAATAATTTTTTCACAATCACTGACAACAATTGTCTTTACTATACAGATAAACAGTTCAACAGCCAAATTAAAACAGAATATCTATGATTCACTTTAACAG